CATGCAGCCAGGCAAAAGATTGGGTGGTTTTTGGCCCAGGTTGAGGAACAATGAGCCAATAAAAGAGAATATTTGTAGCTCAGGGTTGAAATGAGGGCTCCTTGGGTGGTCCCTGAGCTTGGGGGACGTTTCGTGACCCAAACTAGGTAACATCATCAGTGCTAGGAGGAGGAGGGTGTGAGGAGGAGGAGGAGGGGGCTGTGGGGGTCCTTGGTCCTTTCTGAGCATGGTAGTTTTCTTGCAGACATTTCATTACCAAAGTATATAACATAATCAGTGCTAGAAGGGAGCGGGGTTTGAAATTTGTGGAGAGGAACCCAAAAGTGCTTTTTTTTCCAAGAGGCAACTTGGACTTTCTCGGTGTTTTGTTTTGTTTTTAAAAAAAAACGTTTCGCTTCTCTTCCAAGAAATCTGCAAGAAAAAAACCAACTTCAGAGAGCATCAAGGACCCCGTTTCTCCTTCTCCTCTTTACAAACTCCACTCCCTCCTACTCTCTGATAATGTTACCTAGTTGGGTCATGAAATGTCTGTCAGAAAACAAAACAAGCTCAGAGAGCACTAAGGACCTCACAGTCCTCCTCTTTCCCCTCTCCACAAACCCCACTAGCACTGATGATGTTACCTAGTTGGGTCTGAAAACATCTAGAAAGAAAGGAACCAAGCACAGGAAGCACCAAGGACCCTCAGAGTTATTACAATTAGCAATCTAACACTTTTCAATCAAGCCTGGTTCCCTTCCTGACAGGCCATCAATCATCTCGACAGTTCCCGCAGCCAGGATTTCAAATACTGCTGCCGACTAGCTCTGCGCGCAGCTGTCTCTTTTGGTGAGTTAATGGTAACGTACAGTCCAATTTTCCTCTTACCTGTCACCCTCCGGAGGCTTATCAGCTGCATCCAGCATCTTTTCAACAACCGCATTCGCGTAAATCTGCCCCGATTGAAATTGGGAGCAAGAGCATCCGGCAAAGTCACAGAAAGTCACGCGACATGATGGGAGTGCTGGCTGTTTAGTGCGTGACCAGCATCAAAAACAGAGATAGAACTTTGGGAGGCATCGTCGTGGCTGCCATCTTGACTTTTTTAAACGGACAGGCAATTCTTCGATTTACGACCGGTCACTTAGCACACGTTTGAAGTTATGATGGATCACCCAGGGGATACAGGTAGTCCTTGACTTACGACCACAGTTGAGCTAAGGAGCCTGGTGGTAGAGTGAACTAAACTACTGTTAAAGTAGCACTTAGCTGCCAGCTGCCTGCAATTACTGCAAGTTCAATTCTCGCCAGGCTCAAGGTTGACTCAGCCTTCCATCCTTCCGAGGTAGGTAAAATGAGGACCCGGATTGTGGGGGCAATAAGCTGACTTTGTATAAATATACAAAAAAGGATGAAGGCTATTGCTTAGCACATTGTAAGCCGCCCTGAGTCTCCAGAGAAGGGCAGCATATAAATCAAATTTAAAAAAAAAAAAAAAAGCACCTGAGGGTAGAACAAGAAGCAATGGGAGGAAATTAATCGAGAGAAGCAACCTGGAACTAAGGAGAAATTTCCCGACAGTGAGGACAATTAACCAGTGGAACTGCTTGCCACCAGAAGTTGTAGATGCTCAATCACTGGAGCTTTTCAAAAAGAGACTGGACAGCCAATTTGTCTGAAATGGGATAGGGTCTCCTGCTTGAGCAAGGGGCTGGACTAGAAGACCTCCAAGGTCCCTTCCAGTTCTATTCTGATATTCCAAATGGGGCAGGAGGGAAGCACTGGGTGGGGGGGGGGAGAGACCCAGTGGGACATCCCAAGCCTTAATTGGACTTGCTCCAGCAGAGACAGGACGATGGGCTGATTTCATGGTTTCAACGCATCCGTGCCAAAAGGGGTTTGTCTTTCATCTTTTTCCAGAATAGTAAGTTTATTTAAAAGAGTTGCACAGCCACGCGGATTAATGCTGCAGGTTGTGAACACCTGGGCTAGGAAATGGGGCACAGTGCAGTCCCTTTCCATTTTTCCCTCCAACCCCTGGCCAAACACAAGCCCCACGGAGCAGCTTTGAAGGAATCCACTCTCTCATATGCCGAGACTTTGCCCTCTGCATGCTTGGCAGCTTTCCAAACCTGGGCTCTCTCCCTTAAACGTCTCCTATTTTGCCCTGCGTTGCCCGGGATTCCTCGCCCATACAGGTGTTGAAGCCTGCAATGGCACATCAGTGCAGTGCATTGCAATTCAGAGGAAGGCTGTATTAGCTCCGCTCCCTCCTCCTTCTCACCGTGTTGCAGCAAAGATAAATCATTCAGTAAAGAGGACCCTGCCTTGGGCTGCTTTGTGCAAGGCAAAGAATACAGGGGTGTTAAGCGAGCAATCGCAAGCAAGCTCTTGCCAATTTCTAAAGATATCTTCCCAGATTTCACAGCCAACGAAGCCCCAAAATTAAAATAAGTCTTGCGGTCCTTACATTACAGTTCTTATTATTGCTGCGGCGGGAAATCAGAGGACAGAATCCAAGCGTGTTATTTTACACATATGTACACTGTGGAGTTAGTACAAATGAAGCCTCCAGCTTTATCCAAATGGACCACAAAGGAAGAGTTAAGATGTGCACCAGCCGACAAATCGTGGTTAGGACCTGTTCTGCCCCAGCTACGGACCCCAAAGAACGCAGCACACACAAAGTCTGTACAAACCTTAGTTTACTACATTAAATCAGTCTTTTTCAAACAAAGGCTGTCAATGAACTTTCTTAACAGCCTACAATAATCCAAAGAATAAATAATCGTAATCTTATTATGGTTGGCAGAAAGCCCAGAAGCAATTTGCAGGAAACTGATAAGAGAACTGAGATCAGGACGCGAAGGAGAGTAAATGAAGTTGTTCCCTGCAAATTGCCTCAGTCGTCGTCCTTCCTTAAATAGGCTAAGGGAGTGGCCAATTAGCCCCAAGCCTTACTCTCGAGGAGACCTCCTCCTGAGGAGCCACTCCTGCCTTTTGGCAGCTCTGCGCGCCCGTGCATCGAGAAGAGGCTCCTCCTCTTCTTCCTCTTCACTTAAGGGAGCTTCCGGAGCTTCTGAAGGCCCTGGCTGAATCCCCGCCTCTGGCACCACATCTTCTCCAGCCTCCTCACTGTCCGACTCGAGTGCCAGCTGCACAGGCTGCCGGCGCAGCACCACACCAGCCTCCTCGCTGTCGGAATCAGCTACTAGCTGCACAGGCCGCTGATGGGCCACAACAGGACCCAAGGGCTGATTTGGAATCATACATACAGGAAATCCTCATCTGACAGCAGTTTGTTTAGTGACCATTCAGGGTTACAACGGCACCGGAAAAAGGGACTTACAACCATTTTTCCCCACTTATGACCGTTGCAGCATCCCCGTGGTCACATGATCCCCCTTTGGTGACCTTCTGTTAAGCTGTCAATGGGGAAGCCAGATTTACTTAACAACCATGTGACTAGACTAGAATGCAGAACAGATTCATATTTATGACGGTTGAAGTATCCCGGGGTCACGTGATCCCCCTTTTGCGACTTTCTGACAAGCCAAGTCAATGGGGGAAGGCAGGTTCACTTAACAACCGTGTTGCTAATTTATCAACTGCAGTGATTCACTTAACAACTGTCGTAAAATGGGGTGAAACTCATTTAACTGTCTCACTTAGTAACATACATTTTGGGCTCCATTGTGATCATCAGTGGAGGACTGGATATTTATACAAATAAATCAGCCATATTAATGCTGACTGTTGTTATCTGGTTCCCAAACAGGCTTAAGATACCAATAAGTTCTCATTTTAGCCTAGGTGTGAATGGCATGAAAAGCCGGCCGGCCAATCACCAAGAGACAGTGAATTCTGATCAGCACTGATGATGTTCCCTAGCTGGGTCATGAGATGTCTGCAAAAAAAACCAAGCTGAGAGACCCCCAATGACCCTACTGTCCTCCTCCTCCTCCCACCTCTTCTCATTCTCTTCCACCCTGCAAACCCCACTCCCTTCTAGTACTGATGGTGGTACCTAACCGGGTCATGAAACATTTGCAAGAAAACAACCAAATTCAGAGAGCGCCAAGGACCCCACAGTCATCCTCCCCACCCCTACTCTCTTCTAGTACTGATGATGTTCCCTAGTTGGGTTATGGAACATCTGCAAAACAACAACAACAACAAACCTAAGCTTAAGACTCCAGTCCTTCTCTCAGCAAACCCCACTCCTTCCTAGCACTGATGGCGTTACCTAACTGGGTCATGAAACGTTTGCAAGAAAACAGCCATGTTCGGAGAGCACAAAGGTCCCCACAGTCCACCTCCTGAGGACCCAAGCTACAAATATTCTTTTCCAGATCTTATTTAAAACTAGCAACTTACTCCTGTTAGGCAGGGTGGCAGAGAATTCAAAGGCCCCACCCACGTTCCCTTTATCTAAAGTTGGCAGGCCGAGGGTACCTCCAGGGCAGCGTTCAAACTCTGTTCAAACGAAGGCTTCCCAGATGCCTTCGCGAAGCCTTTGAAGCAGAATCTTTAGCAAGAAGCCTCCCGACGGGCGAATTCAAACTCCAGAACCCAAAGCCAATACAGCTAGTCCTCAACTTACGACCAGTCATTTTGCAACCATTCAGGAAACCCCACTCCTTTGTAGAACTGATGATGTTACCTAGTTGGATCATGAAACAACTACAAGAAAACCACCAAGCTCAGAGAGCACCAAGGACCAACCCTACAGTTCAATCTTGAGCAGCAAATACCCCTTAAGTTCTGGAGAAGATCGTAAGACACCCCTGCCAGCAAAAGAGATGCAGTGTAATTACACAGGAGGGACAAAAACAATACAGGTGTGTGTGTGTGTGTATTAAATGATGCAACCTACATATCCATACGGAATGGATCTAAAGTTACTTCCAGTCCTTCTACTGCCTATTTATTTTTAACAAAACAATGAGAAGAAATAAATCAAAAGAAGGGGGCAATTCGGAGTTTCCAAATGGCCCAGGAGAGGCATCCCGGACTGGTACCTTGAGGACAGATTTATGGGTTGCCATGGGAACATTCCGATAAGATTATCAGGCTGTAGATTGAAGGCTAAATGTCTCAGGTCTTTATATTTCAACTTGATTTAGGTTAAATCGATTCCGTTTATCTGAAAACTGATTTTCTCCACAGGAGCAAACAGCAGGAGCTGAAGGAAATAAAGATGCAATATTTATCTTTAAAATTTCTGAATCCACTTTATAGGCTGCCCACCTTAAGCAATGGAACTCTGGATTGTAGACAAAAAAATAAAACATGGGCAGCGATTAAAGAAAATCGAGCCCCCTAAAAAAACCTCATGTCCAGCATCCCTGATCTATTAACATTTAACCCAATGTCTGGGGTTAGCATGTATAATATTATACTATACACGCAATAACATTTATTCATTTGTTTAGTTTCTATAGCCATCCAATCTCAGTCAATTAATCTGGGCAGTTTACCATTCAAAACATATAATTAAAAATTAAAAATAAAACATTTTAAAACAATTGGACACAAAGGTAGATTTTTTCCCTGTGCCATTACTCTGCTGTGGAAATTGGGTGATTCCCACACCACTGTCTTAGGCCTACCCATGTAGCAGGCTGTATTACTATTATCCTTCTCATCTTTTCTACTACCTTCTCCTATTAGTATCTATGATTTATCACTCGTACCTTAGGATTAATGATTGTAACTATGATCTATCGCTTTGTTGTTGTACCCTGTTTCCCCAAAAATAAGACATCCCCTGATAAGCCCAATTGGGCTTTTGAGCGCATGCGCTAAAATAAGCCTCCTCCCGAAAATAAGCTTTCCCAGAAAATATTTAAATGCAGAGCTGGAAATCAGGTAAGACGGCAAGAGGAGCCCCATCTTGCTCCACATGCCCCAAAATAATAAGATCTCCCCGAAAATAAGGCCAAGCACTTATTTAGGGGTTCAAAATATATATATAAGACAGGATCTTATTTTCGGGGAAACACGGTATTTACACTGAAGAGTAAGCACAGGAGAAAAATTCCTTGCATGTCCAATCATTCTAATAAAGAATCCTGTTTCTAATTCTACAAATAACAATAAAACCAGTAGAAAACTATAAAACATCTAATTCAAGATACACAAGAGCAAGAGATATATTTTCTTTCGTGTTGCTTGAGTGAGTAAGACGGGCAGCACATAAATTTAAGGAATAAAATAAAAATAAGAAGACAGAAATAAGACAGAAACACAGAAAGGCGTTTGTGTATATATGCTGTAATTGTTTGTGTGTGTGTACACACAAACAACCACACACACTCCAGGGAGAGCAAGAGCCTTCCCTTCGACACCTTTTATCTTTATTTTGTTGCTTATATTGATATTGTTTCCTGATTGCTTATTTGTACCCTATGACTATCATTAAGTCTTGTACCTTATGATTCTTGATGAACGTATCTTTTCTTTTAGGTACACTGAGACCATATGCACCAAGACAAATTCCTTGTGTATCCAATCACACTTGGCCAATAAAAAATTCTATTCTATTCTATTCTATTCTATTCTATTCTATTCTATTCTATTTCTATCTATTCTATTCTATTCTATTCTATTCTATTCTATTCTATTCTATTCTTGTTTAGGACAATAAAAATAAAGGCTGTTTAGGTTGTTTCGACGCTATTTTTAATTTCTCTGTTGGATCAACGCTCCAAGTGGTTGAGAGTCAGGCAGCAGGGACTTTTTTTCTGTTTTCATTTATGTAGAGAATTGATAATATTCATATGTAAATTTGCACAGTCAAATATAATGTATAAATACTTATACAGACACCCACTCACTTTCAGGGACTCTCTAGAGGGGGCTCACACACACACAAAAATAAAACATTAGAAAAAGACTAAAAAGACAAGAAGCCCCACCCTCCCACCCACCCTCTTGGTGACAATGTTAGATTAATATTTAGTATAATAAAGGATAACCAAGATTCTTCTAATGATGATCAATGATGGTTAGATCTCAAAGAAATCATACCCCATTAAAAAAACTAAATATTATTTTGTAATGTTATGCAATATATATATGTGTGTGTGTGTGTGTGTGATATATATATATATATATTTATTTATTTATTTATTGCGATTTATATGCCGCCTTTCTCCCTAGGGACTCAAGGCGGCTTACAAAATGACAACTTCAATACAAATCACAATACAATACCAAATTAAAATCAGTAACCCAATTAAAAAACGATTTAAAATTATACCAGTGTACCAGTGTACACTCATATGTATGAGATATGTATGTATGATATATATATATATATATATATATATATATATATAAATAATGATCAATGATGGTTAGATCTCAAAGAAATCATACCCATTAAAAAAACTAAATATTTTGTAATGTTATGCAATATGTATGTGTATATACATATATATGTATGATATATGTATGTATGATATATATATATATATATATATATAAAATGATGATCAATGATGGTTAGATCTCAAAAAAATCATACCCATTAACAAAACTAAATATTATTTTGTAATGTTATGCAAAATATATATATATATATACATACATATATATGTATGATATATGTATGTATGATATAATGATGATCAATGATGGTTAGATCTCAAAGAAATCATACCCATTAAAAAAACTAAATATTTTGTAATGTTATGCAATATGTATGTGTATATACATATATATGTATGATATATGTATGTATGATATATATATATATATATATATATAAAATGATGATCAATGATGGTTAGATCTCAAAAAAATCATACCCATTAACAAAACTAAATATTATTTTGTAATGTTATGCAAAATATATATATATATATACATACATATATATGTATGATATATGTATGTATGATATAATGATGATCAATGATGGTTAGATCTCAAAGAAATCATACCCATAAAAAAAGTACATACTATTTTATAATATTATGATATATATATGTTTTCGTAGATTTTCACGGGTAGAAACTTGCACCAAAACACCAAAACTTGCATATATAATATATATATCGCCTTTTTCTTCTTTCCACAACATCGAAGAGAGCCTGGGGCGAGGTGTCCCTCCCCCCCTCCCCTCACGACCCCTCCCCACACAACCCTCTGGTCAGAAAGGGTGTAGGGGGCTGGACTAGATGACCCACAAGGTCCCTTGTAAACTCTTGTTAATCTGAATCTACCTCAGATGATGGGAGTTGTAGTCCAACCCGCCCGGAATCCGGCGCGCGAGGGGAGCAGGGACACCTCCGAGACAACCACCCCCACCTCCCACGCCTCCCTCACACCGCCCCTCCCCCTATCCCGGTTGGCCCGCGGAACTGCCTGCCACTTTGTTGGGGAGGGGGGGCTGAGGAAAGGAGGGGGGGCGAAAAAAAAAAAAGAGTGCGGACCGCGAGGAACACTGCGTCCCCTTCCCCCCCCCCCCCCATCCCGGCGTGACCCCCAACCCACCCACCCCAGACGAAGAGCCCCCCCACCCAAAACTAGGCTTACCTCACTGGCGGGCATCCGAATCGACCCTCGTAGTTCCCTCACGGCCCGCCGCCGTTAAAAGATTTCAAACGGCGGCCTCCTTTCCAAAGCGGCCAATCGCCGCTCGGCAGCCGGGCCTTCCCGCCAGCCGATTGGATGCGGCGGCACGAGGGAGGCGGGGGAAAAGGGGCGGGGTGGGTGGGAGACGCGCTCCTCCCATCCTGCCTTGCGCACGCGCCGCCCAGCGGGGCTTGCTGGGAGGGGGAGGGGGAGGAGGAGGAGGAGAAGGAAGGGGGCGGAGCCGGCCAGCCCAGCCAGCTGGGTGGGCGGGGCTTGCCCAGTTTCAAAGGAGAGAAGCAGAAAAGTGGGGGGAGGCGACGATGGAGGATTAGATTTGTAGCTCAGGGTTGAATTGAGGGGGTTTCCCGGTGGTCTCTGAGGTGGCTTGTTTTTCTTGATTGGACGTTTCATGGCCCAACTAGGGAACATCATCAGTGCTAGAAGGGAGTGGGAGGAAGAGGAGGAGGAAGAGAGGGAAGAGGTGCTCTCTAAGTTCAGTTGTTTTCTTGCAGATGTTTCATGACCCAACTAGGGAACATCATCAGTGAAGGAAGGAAGGAAGGAAGGAAGAAGGAAGAAAGGAAAGAAAAAAGGAAGGGAGGGAGGGGAGGAGGAAGAGGAGGAGAAGGAGAAGGACTGTGGTTCCTCCTTCCCTGGTGCTCTCTGAGCTTGGTTGTTTTCTTGCAGACGTTTCATGACCCAATTAGGGAACATCATCAGTGCTGGAAGGGAGTGGGGTTTATGGAGGGGAGAAGGGGAGGAGGAGGACTGTGAGGTCTTTAGTGGTCTCTAAGCTTGCAGACGTTTCATGTCCCAACTAGGGAACATCATCAGTACTAGGAGGGAGTGGAGTTTGAGGAGGAGGAGGAAGGCAGGAGAGGAAAGGGAGGAGGAGGAGGAGGAGGAGAACTGTGGGGTCCTTGGTGCTCTCTGAGCTTAGCTGTTTTCTTGCAGATGTTTCATGACCCAACTAGGTAACATCATCAGTGCTAGAAGGAAGGAAGGAAGGAAGGGGAGGAGGGGGAGGAAAGGAGGAGGAGAACTGTGGGTTCCTTGGTGCTCTCTGAGCTTGATTGTTTTCTTGCAGATGTTTTGTGACCCAACTAGGGAACATCATCAGGGCTAGAAGGAAGGAAGGAAGGAAGGAAGGAAGGAAGGAAGGAAGGAAGGAGGAGGAGGAGGAGGAGGATGACGACTGTTGGTTCTTGGTGCTCTCTGACCTTGCTTCAGGGGTGGGTTCTACTTATCTTTACTACCAGTTCGCATCGTGCCCGCGCGCAAAGGCTCGCTTTGCTCACGCGTGTGTGCGCTCTTCTGTGCATGCGCAGATCTACTTTGATGACATCCGGGTCAGTGGGCGGAGCCTCGCTCCGGATTTACTACCGGTTCTTGCGAACTGGTCCAAACCGGGGGCAACCCCCCACTGGCTTGCTTGTTTTCCTGAAGATGTTTCATGACCCATCTAGATAACATCATCAGTGGTAGAAGGGAGTGGGGATTGTTCTGTCCCCACGACTGTGGAGTTGAGAAGGAGGAGGAGCAGGAGGGAGGGAGGAGAAGGAGGAGGAGAACTGGGGTCCTTGGTGCTCTCTGAACTTGCTTGTTTTCTTGTGGACGTTTCGTGACCAAACTAGGGAACATCATCAGTGCTAAAGGGGAGGGGAGTCTGCAAAGATGAGGAGGAGGAGGAGGATTGTGGAGCTTATTTTCTTACTGACATTTCATTATTCTAACTAGGTAACAGGAAGGAGCTAGTCCATAGGAAGTTAAAAAGGAGGGTGGGGTGCTGTCAACGTATTCTCCAAAGCACCAGAAGGCAGGACAACAAGCAATTGATGGAAACTAATCAAGGAGAGAAGCTACCTGGAACTAAGGAGGATCTCAAGCGCAATGCAAAAAAAGATGCTGAGACTCTAGAAATAATCAGAGGACAAAGATGATTAGGAGGCTGGAGGCTTAAACGTAAGATGAACGGTTGCAGGAATTGGGTGCGTCGAGTTTAACGAAAAGAAGGACCAGGTTTGACATGATAGCAATAGCACTTAAGACTTATATACCGCTTCACAGTGCTTTACACCCCTTTCCAAACAGTTTACAAAGTCAGCACATGGCCCCCCAACAATCTGGGTCCTCATTTTACCCACCTCGGAAGGATGGAAAGGCTGAGTCAACCTGGAGCCGGTCAGGATCGAACTGCTGGCAGTCTGTTTGTCTGACTGTCCATCCATATCTATCTATCTATCTATCTATCTATCTATCTATCTATCTATCTATTTATCTATCTATCTATCTCCTCTCTTTCTCTTATCTCTCTCTCATCCATCACCTATCATCTATCTACAGTATATCATCTGTCTGGATCTATCTCTCCATTTATGTAATCTATCACTTTATATATCTTTTTTCTATTATCTATCTATCTATCTATCTATCTATCTATCTATCTATCTCCTCTCTTTCTCTTATCTCTCTCTCATCCATCACCTATCATCTATCTACAGTATATCATCTGTCTGGATCTATCTCTCCATTTATGTAATCTATCACTTTATATATCTGTTTTTTTCTACTATCTATCTATCTATCTATCTATCTATCTATCTATCTATCTATCTATCTATCTATCTTGGTGGCGCAGCAGACTAAAGTGCTGTTAAATAGCACCAGCTGCCTGCAATTACTGCAAATTCAAATCTCACCAGGCTCAAGGTTGACTCAGCCTTCCATCCTTTCGAGGTAGGTAAAATGAGGACCCGGATTGTGGGGGCAATAAGCTGACTTTGTATAAAAAGCTGACTTTGTATAAAAAGAACACCGCTTAGGGGGGCCCGAAAGCCCTACTAAGGACCCCCCGAAAGCCCTACTAAGCTTAGTGGGGCTGAAAGCCCTACTAAGCAGGTATATGCAAAAGTATGAAGGCTATTGCTTAACGCATTGTAAGCCGCCCTGAGTCTCCGGAGAAGGGCGGCATACAAATTGACCCAATAAATAAATAAAATATCTACCGTGTTTCCCCAAAAATAAGACCCTGTTTTATATTTTTTTTTAACCCTGAAATAAGGGCTTGGCCTTATTTTTGGAGAGGTCTTATTATTTTGGGGCGCATGGAGCAAGACGGGACTCCTCTTGCCATCTTACCTCATTTCCAGCTCTGTCTCCCTGACCCTAACCAGAGGAAATGGTGGGGACCAGCTGCGCATGTGGTTAAATATTTTTGGGGAGGGCTTATTTTCGGGGGGGCTTATTTTAGCGCATGCACTCAAAAGCCCGATTGGTCTTACTATCAGGGGATGTCTTATTTTAGGGGAAACAGGGTATCTATCTATCTATCTATCTATCTATCTATCTATCTATTTATCATGTTCTCTCTCTCTCATCAATCATCTATCTCTCCATCTATGTAATACATCACTTTTCTATCTACATTTCTATCTTGTCTCTCTCTCTCACAATACTCACACACACATATCTATCACCTGTCATCTATATCAATCATCATCTGTCTATATCTCTCTCCATTTATGTAATCTGTCACTTTTCTCTATCTATAGATGTTTCTGTCTATCATCTATCTATTTACACACACACACCCACACACACACACACACTGTATTCCTCTCCTCAGTCCAGTCCTGGCCCTTGATGCAACCTGCAACGTCAAAGTTTTGTTTTGGAGATGCCAGCAAGCTTGAATGTGTGGGAAAAGGCATCCAGGGGAAGTGGAGAGATGCATTTTCCAGTTTTCCCTGTTGCTGTCTCTGAAAATCTGGTGTCCCTACTTTCTTGAATTGCAAATGAGCAGACTTGCTTTTCAACAAAAATAATACACGGCAACTAATTTTGTCAACACTATTGTGTGCAACTTGCGGTTCTGCAATGTGGCCGGCTCCAAATATATTTTCATTATTTTATCGCCGAGAATCACACCTTTCTGCTTCAGCTGTTCTTCTTCTCCGAGCCCAGCAGCCTTCAAACATGACGGGAATTGGCAGAATAGAATAGAAATACTTTATTTGGCCAAGTGGGGTTAGACACTCAAGGAATTTGTCTCTGGTATAGATAGCACTGAACGTACTTGCAAATCAACAGAGATGATGATGATGATGATGATGATAATGATGATGATGATGATGATGATGATGATAAGAGCCTTGGTGGCGCAGCAGACTAATGTGCTGTTAAGTAGCACCAGCTGCCTGCAATTACTGCAAGTTCAAATCTCACCAGGCTCAAGGTCGATTCAGCCTTCCATCCTTTCTAAGGTAGGTAAATTGAGGACCCAGTTGTGGGGGCAATAAGCTGACTTTGTATAAATATACAAAAGGATGAAGGCTATTGCTGAGCACATTGTAAGCCGGCCTGAGTCTCCGGAGAAGGGCGGCATATAAATCAAATAAAAAAATAAAAAAAATAAAAAAAATAAATAATAAATGTTGATGATGATAATAATAATACAGAAAAATTGCTGCAGGCTGTGAAAACAGAGAACATTATAAAAACAACAGAAACAAAGGCAGAAAATAAGGAAAAACAGCTGGATGACAGATTAAATAGATGAAAAACCAAAGCTTTGCATGGACAGCCCTTGGAAAACATTGAAGGAAAATGGGATGACAACTTGACATGGGCCTGGCTTAAGATGGGAGCCATCAAGAAAGAAACGGAAGGTTTAATACTCGCTGCTCAAGGACAAGCACTACAAACTAATGCCACGAAAGCAAAGATACAAAAATCCACCGACAATCCAAACTGCCGATTTTGCAACAACAAAGTTGAAATTGTTTCACGTTTTAAGATGTGAATGCAACAAAATTGCACAAACTGATTACAAAGCTAGACACGACTGAGTTGCTAAATTAATCCACTGGTCATTATGTAAAAAAATATGACTTTCCTGAATCCAAAAAGTCACGGGTACATAAAGTGGAAAAAGTTATAGAAAAGGAGAAGGTGAAGATCTTGTGGGACTTTCGAATACAGACGGATCGTCACTTGGAACACAACACGCCAGATATCGCAGTTGTCGAAAACCAAAACATACAATTTATTGACATCGCGGTACCAGGAGATGCCCGAGTCGAAGAAAAAGAACTGGAAAAAAATCATGAAATATCACGACCTGGCCATTGAAACTACATGGCTATGGATGAAACATGTAACAGAGATACCCATTGTCATCAGGGCACTTGGTACCATGTCCAAGAATTTTACAAAACACATCAAGAAATTGCAGCTTCCTGCAATAACAGCAGCTGAACTGCAAAAAACTGCGCTACTCGGAACATCGTAAATCTTAAGAAGGTACTTGGTTGATACCTAGGACGCTGGCAGCAACCCCTATCAACCATTAGCACCAGTCAATGGTATTTGTGACACATTTTTAAATGTTCAGATGACTGAGTTTCATATTTAATGAATAAAAGTATACTGTCTTTGGTGTAAGCCGCCCAGAGTCCTCGGAGAGTGGGCGGCATAGAAATATAAATAATAAAAATAAAAAAATAAATAATTATTATAATAATAAAAGTAATAATAGCATGCAACCATTTTATTCTATTCTTGAATTGGAGCGGTGTGGTGGCCTATAGGTGGAGACGCTTGCCTCCCACTCGGAAGGTAGAGAGTTCAATCCTAGGCAGCGGCAGATGCTTCTCTATCAGAGCACAAAGAGAAAATATCTGCTGTGAACTTTGCATAGGCATCAGGAAAGGCCAGTAAACCCTCAGCTCCATTCCCTCATCCCGATAAAAAGGGATTACAGAGTCGTAAAAAAAACAACACCATTCTATTCTTCAATTGGCAGAATCGTCTCCCTTTTCTTCCTTTGCTATCTGCACCAGCTTATTTTTAATTTCCAAATTTCCGCAGAAATCCTGGAACGCTCTTCTCTCGCTTTCCCTCCTTGCTGACGCTTTTCACACGATATTACTTGTATCAATTTGATCGCGATAGCCTCCTGGGCTTCCTGCTTTTCCCCCCCATCCTGCCCATTTTTAAAATTTCATATTATTGTAATTCCACTGGTTTTTTTTTTATTGAAAAAGTTTTACAAATACAAATTTTCCCATTTCCCCCCCTTCCTTCCCTAACCCTCCCTAACCTCCCCTCCTCCCATGACTTCCCCAAGGTGAAATCCGTCCACATTATATTATATCATACTTTACCACCCTTCTATTCTCCCCCGTGTACTATACATTTTTACATAATATTAAGCTATTGTACCCCCTACATACTATACATTTCTACACAACATTCAGCTAAAAGCTATCTGGTACTTCCTAGTTTGGTATTTATTCTGCACATAATTTATCCATTTCTTCCATTCCCATGCATAAGTCTCTTGAGTCCGATCTTTTAAGTATGCTTAATTCCACTGGTTTTTTAACAAATTATTTTATTTCTCCGTTATCTTCACATTTTAAAAAATCATTTCCCACCCACCCCTCAACCCCATTTTAGTATTGTAAGCTGCCCATAGATAGCCCCCACGGCAAGATGGGTTCAGGGGTGGGCTCCAAATTTTTTTACTACCGGTTCTGTGGGCGTGGCTTATTTGGTGGGCGTGGCTTGGTGGTCATGTGACTGAGTGGGCATGGCCAACTCGAAGTCGCTCACGGCAAGGTGGGGCAGCAGTGGGTTGCAAATACATTGAAGTCAGCTGGGTGACTTTGTCAAATCACTAGGAGTCGGTGAATGTCTATGGAGATTCTCAGTCATCCAGGTCACTCAACTGGACTTTGTTTTTTCTTTGAAGACGTTTCGCTTCTCATCCAAGAAGCTTCTTCAGCTCTGACTTGGATGGGGGGGAATGGAAGGATTTATATTCCTTGCAGACAGCTGGTCATTTGCATCCTTTTAGAAAGTCGTTGAGGCCACTTGGAGGTTTATCTGTGTCCTCAGGGTTCACCAGAGTAGTGCAAATCAGTGGTGGGTGGGTTGCTCCCGGTTCAGTCAGGTTCTTTAGAACCGGTAGTAAAAGCAGGAGGCTCCGCCCATCTGCCCAGACATCATAATTGATAATTTGCACACGTGCAGAAGCTTCTGTGCATGTGCAGAAGCAAGCAAGCGCGAGCTCCCATTATGAACTACCGGTAGTAAAGATAGGTATTTATTTTTATTTATTTATTTATTTATTATTTTGTCAAGTACATATTAGATAATATATATAAGTCTAAGCATGAATTGAATACATAAAATGAATGCAATTAAAGGGAGCATTAGGACAGGGACAGTAGGCAGGCTGGTGCTCTTAAGCACACCCCTTACAAACCTCTTAGGAATGGGGTAGAACCCACTCCTGGTGCAAAATGGTTGTGGAACTTTCTTGGAACTGATAAAAGGACTGTTGAAAGTTGAAAGAATGTTGTGGAGCTGTGCTTTCTGCAGCAGGTTTCCACCCTATGTCCTTTCATTCAATTGTCGTAAATCAAGGACTGCCTGTATAAGAGAGCTGTGTAAGTCTACATTGGCAACAAGAAGCTGCAGCTCACGAAACCTTTTGCATTTTAATAGAATTTATTATTATTTATTTATTTATTGAATTTCTATACTGCCCTTCTCCCGAAGAACTCAGGGCGGTGAACAGATTAAAGATTTCATATACATTTAATAATTTTTATATGTATATGATAATTATAATAACATTTATTGGAAAAAAAAGTGCTACCAAATGCCTTGTGATTTTTTTGGGGTGGTTTCATTTCTGGAGAGAGAAAAAAACCCAGAGGAAAATAAATATATATATTTATATATATATATATTATATATATATATATTCTACCAAGTCTAAAAATGGTACCATGAAGACCTTGAGCCGAAAGAGGGCGCTCCAACCCTTCTCTGGGCAGCCGGCCCGACTGGGCAAGCGCATTGATTTGTATTAGAGCAACGACTCCGCCCCATCCGCTTTACGTTATTCGCCTGCGCATTGCCTCCGAGCCGCGCATGCGCTCGCCCGGCTCGAAAGGCGCGGTTGTGGCGCATGCGCACTATTCCTTCGCCCGGCCGGTCAGAACGAGTCAGCACTCGCGGGGGAAACTGCCGCTTAGTGCGCGGGGGGGAAAAAAGCCAAGCCGTAACCGCCGAAGCGACCGACCCCCTTCGGTGGCTCCTTCTAGCGGTTCGAACCAGCCGGTTCCCCTCAGAGGTAACCGGCAAACGAGGCCGGTAAAGAGAAGCGGAGCCGGGGGCGGGCCGTCTTCGGCATTATTCAAGGTAAGGGCGGAGATTGGGGAGAGATTGACACGAACGCCGGCCAATGAAAGTAAACGTGCGGTCCGCCCTCCCCTTTTCGCCTCCTCCTCGCTCTGATTGGCTCGGCGCGGAGAGAGCGGGGGCGTGGTTTTGCCCTATTTGAATATTTGAGAAAATGAATGGAGAAGGGGAGGGGGGGGGAGGTAGTGTGATGGGAAGGGCGGTGGGTGGGTGGATGGGGGGGGCAGCTTTTCCAGGATGGGGCGCTTTGTGGGTGGGTGGGTGGGTGGTTTCCTTGGGCACCCTGTCCCATGATTCCCAGCAGGCTGTTGCTTATGGGAGTTGTAGTCCAGAGATGTCTACAGATTGTGGACAAAAAGGGGGGGAGGGGAAGAAACAAAGGGCCCTTCCAGGAAACCCCCTGGGAGGGGGGGGCTGATCAAAGCCCCTCCCCCATAAGGTTGTTCTTTGCTGGAATAGAATAGACCAGTGTTTCTCAACCTTGGAAGCTTGAAGATGGGTGGACTTCAACTCCCAGAATCCCCCAGCCAGCAACGCTGGCTGGGGGATTCTGGGAGTTGAAGTCCACCCATCTTCAAGCTTCCAAGGTTGAGAAACACTGGAATATCTATCAATAGAATCAGCTTTGGCAAACCACGATTGCTGTGATCTTGGTTCCTAAACCTGGATATTGGCGGCGAGGTGGGGGGGGTGTCTTCTCTAGAAGACCCTCCCTCAAATGCCCCGTTAAGGAAATGCTCTCCTGGCCCATTCCAGTGGGAGGGGGCCGACCCAGTTCTGGATGGGTGACGAACAAAGGTCGGGATGTGGGGGGGGGGGTCCGAGAAGGTAAGAAGGGAGTGGGCTGGCTGGAATTGGGAAGGAAGGAAGATACAAGTCGTCCTCGACTTTAGTGACCGTGTTCCTTTAGTGACCGTTGAAAATTAACAACGGCGCTGAAAGATGCGACTTAGCGACCGTTTTTCGGACTCGCGACCTTTGCAGGTTCACGGGATCAGAATTTCAGATGATGGGCAACTGATTCGTACTTAATAACGGTGGCAATGTCCCCGAGATCCCGTGATTCCCTTTTGCGACCTGACAAGCGAAGTCAAACGGGGAAAGCCGGATTCACTGAACAACCAGGTTGCTAACCCTTACCAACTGCACTGATTCGCTTAACAACCGAGGCGAGAAAGGTCGTAGAATGGGGCAACATTCACTCAACAAATGTCTCACTTTAAACAACATAAATTTTAATTTAAATGCATCGTGAGCCGCCCTGAGTCTTCGGAGAGGGGCGGCATACAAATTGAATAAATATTTATTTATTTATTTATTTATTTTTATATGCCGCCCTTCTCCAGAGACTCAGGGCGGCTTACAATGCGTTAAGCAATAGCCTTCATCCTTTTGTATATTTATACAAAGTCAGCTTATTGCCCCCACAAATCAGGTCCTCATTTTACCTACCTTAGAAAGGATGGAAGGCTGAGTCGACCTTGAGCCTGGTGAGAATTGAACTCGCAGTAATTGCAGGCAGCTGGATGTTAAATGCTGCCTTAGTAGGAGGCATTAGCCTCCTACGCCACTCAGGCTAAATAAATAAATAAATTTTGGGCTCAATTCGGGTCATAAATCAAGGTCTACCTGTAATCTGTTTTTTACTATGGCCTGGGAGAATAAGGCCAATTAAATTTAACACAAATGATTAAAACCTCATAATCCGAAGAGAATACTTATAGCTTGGGGGTTGAACTCGGGGGTCCTTGGGTCTCTCTGAGCTTGGGGGTTTCCTTGCAAGCGTTTCATGACCCAACTAGGTAACATCCTCAGTACAAGAAGGGAGTTTGGTTTGCAGAGAGGAGGAGGAGGAGGACCGTGGAGTCCTTGGTGCTATTTGAGCTTAATTTAATTTAATTTATCGCATTTCTATGCTGCCCAGCTCCCAAGGGTTGGTTGCTTCTTGCAGACGTTTTACGACCCAACTAGGGAACGTTATCAGTGTTAAAAGGGATAGTGGAGAAGAAGGTAAAGGAGGAAAAATTGGAGGTCCCTTATGCTCTCAGTTTGGTCGGTTGCTTCCAGACATTTCAAGACCTATACTAGGAGGTTTGTCTGTGTCCTCGGGATGACCTGAGTAGTGCAAATGGGTGTGGAGTTTTCTTGGCTGCCGGATGTTTTCTCTTCCCTGTTGAAGGAGAAGGCGGTTGGGGATGAGGGACACATCCTGCACCCATTTGCACCACTCAGGTGACCCTGAGGACACAGAGAAACCTCCAAGTGAGCCTCAACGACCCTCTTAAAAACATGCAAGTAACCAGCTGTCTGCAAGGAATGTCAATCCTTCCATTCCCCACCATTCAGTCAGAACAGAGGAAGCTTCTTGGTTGAGAAGGGAAACGTCTTCAAAGAAAAAAACCAGAAAGTCCAGTTGCCTCTTTGGGACATTGGCCCTGAACTGCTCCAGGGTGTCGAATCCAGATTTACAACCGCACTGTTTATTCAATGCATCCTGTTTTCCAGTACAATTTTTTTTTTTATTACACCTATATCTTTAATTGTCCGCATTGTAGCGGACTTTGTGATATGCTAACACCCCGAAGGACACTTACTTTTCGTACGTGGCTCTGTTGTTAAGATACTCGAACCAACAAAAACAGCTGTAGATTTCTTTTTTTTAAAAAAAAGGAACCATATACGCACACCCACACACCCCTCTCATGAATGAATAAGGTTTCGTTAATGAATAAATCACAGTCATGGATATTGTTTGTTGTGGAACTATGGCAACTTTACGAGTGTAAAATTCTGGGAGAACATCTTAGGAAGATTTCTCAGGTCATAGTGGTATCAAAAGTGTGGGGGTTTTTTTGAAAAAGCAACTGTCGTGATTTTTTTGAGAAAAAAAAAAACCCAAGATGTTTTGATTCCTCTCCTCGAAGCTTCATCAGTTGTATTGGATGCTGTTGGGAGAATGTATTTTTTTTTTTTCAAAATAATAAAAAAAAAATGACACCCACTTGAAGTCCTGGGACTATCAACTCCCAGAATTCCTGAGCCAGCCACGCAGAGAACTGGCAAAAGCGTTGGTCGAAATCAGGGTTTCCCACCCTTGGCAACTTTTAAGACATGTGGACTTCAACTCCCAGAATTCCCCAGCCTGGTTGGAGAACTCTGGGAGTTGAAGTCCCCAAGTCTTAAAGTTGTCAAGGTTGGAGACCCCTGCTTAAAGGTTCGATCAGAATACAGCTGGAAGGGACCCTGGAGGTCTTCTAGTCCAGCCCCCTGCTCATGCAGGAGAACCTATACCATTTCAGACAAGTGGCTGTCCAGACTCTTCTTAAAAACTTCCACTCATGAAGCAACTACAACTTCTGGTGGCAAGCTGTTCCACTGGTTAATTGTCCTCAGTGGTAGGAAGCTTCTCCTTAATCCCAGGTTGCTTCTCACCTTGATTTGTTTCCACCCGTTGCTTCTTGTCCTGCCTTCTGGTGCTTTGGAGAATAGCTTGACTCCCTCTTCTTTGGGGCAGCCCCTGAGATATTGGAAGACTGCTATCATGTCTCCCCTGGTCCTTCTCTTCATTAAACTAGACATATCCAGTTCTTGCAACCGTTCTTCCTATGTTTTATTCTCCAGGCCTTTGATCATCTCAGTTGCTCTTCTCTGCACTTTTTCCAAAGTCTCAACATCTTTTTCTTTTTTTTGTAGCGTGGTGACCCATATCCAATTTTCACTCGAGGTCAGGAAGGCTGACCTCCCATGCTCAGAAAACCTCTTTCTGATGCTAGGAATCCGGGGAGACCCTGTGGCAGGAAACTGCGGCTTTCTCGGGGCTTCCTCAAAATTCAGAGTGACACCAGAGCAAGGCCTGGTCTCCTTCTGGTTTATTGGATGTACCCAAGATCTGTTATTATCATCATGAGACGGGACTGAATTGTTGAAGGACCATCACTTCTGAGTCCTGGGGGGTTTTCTGTATAAAAATCAAGTGGATAACAATAGCAGTGGTATCCATCTCTCACTTGTCGTTCTTCAATTCTGTCTTTCATTTATTGATTTTTTTAAAAAAATTGATTTATATGCCGCCCTTCTCCGGAGACTCAGGGCGGCTTACAATGCGTTAAGCAATAGCCTTCATCCTTTTGTATATTTATACAAAGTCAGCTTATTGCCCCCACAAACTGGGTCCTCATTTCACTTACCTTAGAAAGGATGGAAGGCTGAGTCAACCTTGAGCCTGGTGAGATTCGAACTTGCAGTAATTGCAGGCAGCTGATGTTAATAACAGTGCTTTAGTCAACTGCGCCACCAGGCTCTTGATTTTTATAATGCTTTGTATTATATGGCTTCTCAATAACTCGGGGTGGGGATGAGGGCGAACGTACCTCATATTCCTTCCTCCTGTTTTCACCGCCAAAACAACAACCCTGTGAGGTGGGCTAGGCTGAGAGAGAGAGAGAGTGACTGGCCCAAAAATCACCCAGCTGGCTTTGATGTCTGGGTAACTTAACAACAGCAGTGATTCATGTAACAATGGTGGCAAGAAAAGTCGTAAAATGGGACAGAAACTCCCTTAACGAAGGTTTCGCTTAACATAAATGTTGGGCTCCAATTGCGGTCATAAGCCGAGGACTACCGATATATTGCAGTTCTTATTATTATTGCTGCGGCGGGAAATCAGAGGAGAGAACCCAAGCGTGTTATTTTACACGTATGTACACTGTGGAGTTAGTACAAATGAAGCCTCCATCTTTATCTAAATCAGTGTTTCTCAACCTTGGAAGCTTGAAGATGGGTGGACTTCAAGCTACCAAGGTTGAGAAACACTGATCCAAATGGACTACAAAGGAAGAGTTAAGACGTGCACCGCCTGACAAATCGTGGTTAGGACCCAAAGGCTGACTTGGGATGATACATACAGGAAATCCTCGTCTGACGGCAGTTCCTTTGGTCGCTGTTCAAAGTTAGAAAGGCACTGAAAAAAGGGACTTACGAACTTTCTTCATTCTTAGGACCATTGCAGCATCCCCATGGTCATGTGACCAAAATTCAAATGCTTGGCAACTCACGTTGATGATGGCTGCAGGGTCACATGATCCCCCTTTTGTGACTTTCTGAGAAGCCAAGTCAATGGGGAAGCCAGGTTTACTTAACAAGCATGTGACGTGACTAGACTAGAGTAGACTAGACTAAACTAGACTAGAATACAATACAATAGAATAGAATAGAGAATGGAATGGAATGGAATGCAATGCAATGGAATCGACTGGACTAGACTAGACTAGACTAGACTAGAGAATGGAATGCAATAGAATAGAATAGAATAGAATAGAATAGAATAGAATAGAATAGAACAGAACAGAACAGAACAGAACAGAACCAGAACCAGAACCAGAACCAGAACCAGAACCAGAACCAGAACCAGAACAGAATAGAGAATGGAATGCAATGCAATGGAATGGAATGGAATGGAATGGAATGGAATAGAATAGAATAGAATAGAATAGAATAGAATAGAATAGAATAGAAAATAAAATAGAATAAGAATAGAATAGAAGAATAGAATAGAATAGAAATAGAACAGAACACAATATTAGAATAGAAAAGAAAAGAAAAGAAAAGAAAAAAGAAAAACATAATCTAGTCCAACCCCTGCTAAGGCAGGAGACCCTCTTCCATACCATACTAGTGGCTATCCAATCTTTTCGTAAAAAGCCTCCAGTGATGGAGCATACACAACTTCTGGTGGCAAGCAGTTCCACTGCCTAATTGTCCTCACTGTCAGGAAATTTCTCCTTAATTCCAGGTTGCTTCTCTCCTTGATAAGCTTCCATCTGTTGCTTCTTGTCCTGCCTTCAGGTGCTTTGGAGAATAGGTTGACACCCCCTCCCCCTCTCTCTTTTCTTTGTGTCAGTCACTTAAATACTGGCAGACTGCCCTCATGTTCCCCCCCCAGTCCTTTTCTTCCTGCAACCATATTCTTTGTATGTTTTAGTCTCCGTCCTTTAATCATCCTAGCTGCTCTTCTCTGCACTTTTTCCAAAGTCTCCGCATCTTCTTCTCCTTCTCCTCCTCCTCCTCCTCTTCTTCTTCTTCTTCTTCTCCTCCTCCTCCTCTTCCTCCTCCTCCTCCTCTTCTTCTTCTTCTTCTCCTCCTCTTCCTCCTCCTCCTCCTCCTCTTCTTCTTCCTCCTCCTCCTTCTCTTCTTCTTCTTCTCCTTCTTCTCCTCCTCTTCTTCTTCTTCTCTTCTTCTTCTTCTTCTTCCTTCTTCCTCCTCCTCCTCCTCTTCTTCTTCCTCCTCCTCCTCCTCCTTCTTCTCTTCTTCTTCTTCTCCTTCTCCTCCTCCTCCTCCTCTTCTTCTTCTCCTCTTTTTCTTCTTCTTCTTCTTCTTCTTCTCTTCCTCCTCCTCCTCCTCCTCTTCTTCTCTTCTTCTTCCTTCTTCTTCCTCCTCCTCCTCCTCCTCCTCCTCTTCTTCCTCCTCCTCCTCCTCCTCCTTCTTCTCTTCTTCTTCTTCTTCTCCTTCTCCTCCTCCTCCTCCTCCTCCTCTTCTTCTTCTTCTTCTTCTTCTTCTTCTCCTTCTCCTCCTCCTCCTCCTCCTCCTCTTCTTCTTCTTCTTCTTCTTCTTCTTCTCTTCCTCTCTCTTCTTCTTCTTCCTTCTTCTTCCTCCTCCTCCTCCTCCTCCTCCCCTCCTCCTCCTCCTCCTCCTCCTCCTCCTCCTTCTTCTTCTTCTTCTTCTTCTTCTTCTTCTTTATTATGCGGCCACCCAAACTTTGCCAAAGGGAAGGGAGCTGGGAGGACACTCACCTGGTTTTGCAAGGCTTGAGCCTTGACACTGGGTGGGGACGGGGCGGTTTATGCGCTGGGGGGGAGGCGGGGACTCCCCGGTAGGCGGGCAATTGGATGACAAGGAGGGTCAGCCAGTGCCTGGAACGCTTGCCTGCCTGCCTGCCTGCCTCCTCCACATTCTCACATTCGCTCTGTGGCGCACAGCTCCTTCTGTTGAGATCTCCTCCCCTCCCTGTTTGAAGCCGCTGCTCCCTTTCCAAGGGCGGTGAGTACTGTAGGAACCCCTGGAAGCCTGCCCGGCCAAGCCATCGGGAAGTCCTGGAAGGGGGTTTTTCCAAAAACCAGGAAGCCAGGGCTTAAGGGTAGCCAGCCGCACAGCTGGTGGGTTTTTCTCCATAGCCATTCCCGGGAGGCTGGGGTCTGCGCCAGGTGGGGGGTCTCCGTGCGTTGCCTGCCCCGGCCTCTGCTTGCCTCACCGCTTCTTGGAATGTGTCTCACCATATGACTCATTGCCATGGTGGTGAAGACAAGAATCAGGGCTCCGAGGCTGCTCTCCCTGGCATTTCCCCCATCTCTCTCTCTCTCTCTCTCTCCTTTGCCCATATTTAACTTCCCACCAAAGTTTTGCTTTCGGGGTTGCCACGCAGCAGCCCGTGGGGACGGGCGAGGAGGCTGGGAAGTGGGGAGTCCAAGCTCGAAGCTGCCTCTGAAATCTGGCAGCCTTGCAACCGAGTGGATTTAGGCATGTGTGTGTGGGTGGGGGGGTGCATTCCAGTCTTTGAGGGGCTGGCAGAAAGAAGAAGGGGGGGAGGGGGTCCGTCTTATTTTTCTAAAGCCCCAGAAGGCAAGACGAAAGAAAGAATGGATGGAAATTAATCAAGGAGAGGAACAACCTGGCATTAAAGAGAATTTTTTTTCTGACAGTGAGGGCAGTTAATCAGTGACGTGACTTGCCTCCAGAAGTTGTGGGTGCCTCATCTCTGGAAGTTTTTTAAGAAGAGTCACTGGACAGCCACCTGTCTGAAATGGTAGAGGGTCCCTTGCTTAAGCAGGGGGCTGGACTAGAAGACCTCCGAGGTCCCTTTCAGCTTTATTCTGATAGATTTGGCTTCACCAGCCCTGGAAACCCGCTGTTAATCCACCTTCCTGACTTTGGAAATCTTTCCTGGCATGTTTGTCCCTCTGCTCCACCTCTTGGGAAGCGCTCGGGCTGGAAAGCAGGATCACAGTTCAGCCCTGGTCCCCACGGGGGGCCGGAAGCCCTTGCCAGCCCTTGTCTCTTTAAAAAAAAGGAAAAAAAAATCAGCTAGCAAGCCAGCAAGCTCCTCTCAAGAACCAGGAAGTGCTTTGATCCCAGGGAGGAGGGAGGGGCAAGATGGGTGGGTGGGAGGTGGAGAGGCAGGGGGCGTGAAGGGGGAGGGGTCTCCATGCTTTACTGCTGCAGCAGACCTGCAGCACTCCATCAAAGTGGCAAAGGGAACCCTCCTGGGTTCTCCTCCGTCGCTCTCCAGCCTGGCAGGCTGCGGCATCGCACGCCGGTCGCAGCTGGTTCGGCTCCAGGAGGTGGGTCGGAGAGGAGGCACGGGGCCTGGCCGGGTGACGAGGATCTGGTTCCCATTAGGGACCCTCCGGGGGGGGGGGGGGAGGAGGTGGCGGGGGGGGGGGGGGGGGGGGGCCCCTGGCGGGGGGGGGGGGGGGGGGGGGGGGGGGGGGGGCAAGGATTGCCGCTTGCAAATGCATGAGCTTCCTGGGGAGCAGCGAAGTCTTCCCCCACCCTCCCCGTTGCTGCTGCTGCTTGCCCCGGAGGGCACCGAGTCCGCGGCTGGTCCTTTAACACTTTCTTCCCCCCCCCCCCCCCTTTTTTCCCCCCCCCTTCTCTTCACCACCCCCGTGAAGTTTCCGTGCCCGGCGCTGGAATGGCTGTGCCCGAACTGGAAGGGAGCCGCGTCCCCCTATGGTAAGCAGGACGGCTGGTGTTGCAGACCATGGACTCACTGAGATTTGCAGAGGTGTGAAAATGTCGAGCGGCAACCGGTCCCTGGTGGTGGACTTCATTTCCTACAAGCTGGCGCAGAGGGGCCACAGCTGGCGCGAGATCGAAGGCGACGGCGAGAACCGGACGGAGCTGTCCGGCGAGATGGGGGGCGGCGGCGGCGTCCTGAACGGCGGGAGCCCCTCTTGGCACCCCAGTCCCAGCCCGGTGGTCAACGGGGCGGCGGGCCACCCGAATCTCCTGGAAGTCCTGGACAACGGCCCCCAGTCGGATGTGAGGCAGACGCTGCGGGAAGCCGGGGACGAGTTCGAACTGCGCTACCGGCGGGCTTTTAGCGACCTGACTTCCCAGCTCCACATCACCCCCAGCACGGCTTACCAGAGCTTCGAGCAGGTGGTGAACGAACTTTTCCGGGACGGGGTGAACTGGGGGCGGATTGTGGCCTTTTTCTCCTTCGGAGGGGCTCTGTGCGTGGAGAGCGTCGACAAGGAAATGCGAGTCTTGGTGGAGCGGATCGCCACCTGGATGGCGACGTACCTGACCGAACACCTGGAGCCCTGGATCCAAGATAACGGAGGCTGGGTGAGCTTCAGCAAAGGGGTAGCGATTGTGGGGAGGGAGGGAGGGAGGGAAGGGGGTGCCCCCTCCGTTTCCCTGTAAAATCAGCCGTGCTGTGCAGGTAGTCCTCGGCTTACAACCGTCCATTTAGTGACCACTCAAAATTACAGCGGAAAAAGTGACTTACGGGCCATTTTTCATCCTTCCTTCCCACGGTCATGTGATCAAACGTCAAACGCTTGGCAATTGGCTCACATTTATGACGGATGTGCCGTCCCGGGGAGGTCACGTGATTGATTCCCCCTTTTTTGCAACTTGTCCACGGGGGGGGGAAATCCGGATTCGCTGAACAACCGTGCGAACTAACTCAACAAACGCGATGGCTCGCTTAGCGACCACGGCAAGGAAATTTGTAAAAAGGGGAGGGAGGGAGCAAACCTCGCTTAAACCAACGTTTCGCTGAGCAACAGGAATCGGGGGCTCAGCCGGGGTCGTAACTCGAGGACTACCTGTATTTCTGGCGGCCTGTGATCCCCGGTGAGGGTGGGTTGGTCGCGAGGGGTGTCGCCGTGCGCAGAGGCAGCTTTTCTCGTGGTAACGGAAAGGAGGTGATTTAACTGTCGTCCTTAAAAAAGGGGAAGAATCTGCACCCTTTGGGTAAAATAAAATCCTCCATCGGGCATTTCGGTCGGGGTACGCCTGTGGGCTTGAGCGGGGACCCCCTGAACAACTTAGCGTTCAACGATGAACCTCCCGCTGAACTTCCGATCTCCCTCGCCTGCCTTCCTTGCCAAGGTGGCTGGGCTCAGTTCTAGAATTAAAGTGTGGGAGGGGCTATCTCGCCCTCAGGACCGCCGCCCCCCCCTTGAATCTCGTCCCGCTGGAACAGGATCAAAGGCCCATGGCTGCCTTGCCTTGTTTGACCTGGCAACCGCTGTGGCGGCAGGAAAGGGGGGAACTGAGCCCAGGTGAAGGTTACGGCCGAGCTGAGAGTCGCACTGTGCGTTGGAGCTAACGGAGGAGAATTTTTGTAGCTCGGAGGTTGAACCTGATGCTCTCTTGAGCTCGGTCGCTTTCTTGCAGACGTTTTATGACCCAGCTAGGTAACATCATCAGTGCTAGAAAGTTGTAGGGCGTGCAGAGAGGAGGAGGAAGAGAACTGTGGGGTCTTTGTTGCTCTCTGAGCTTGGTTGTCTTCGTGGAGACCTTTCATAACCCAACTAGGGAACATCATCAGCAATAGAACGGAACGGGGTTGCAGAGAGGAGAACATCGGTGCTAGAAAGGAGGAGGGTTTGCAAGGAGGAGGAGGTGGTTGAGGAAAGGAGGAGGGAGGAAGAAGAGGAGGACTGTGGGGTCCCTACTGCTTTCTGAGCTCAGTTGCTTTGTTGCAGACATTTTATGACCTAACTAGGTAACATCATCAGTGCTAGAAAGGAGTGGGGTGTGCAGAGAGGAGGAGGAGGAGGACTGTGGGGTCTTTGTTGCTGTCTGAGCTTGGTTTTCTTCGTGGAAACCTTTCATGACCCAACTAGGGAACATCATCAGCAATAGAACGGAACGGGGTTGCGGAGAGGAGGAGGAGGAGAACATCGGTGCTAGAAAGGAGGAGGGTTTGCAAGGAGGAGGAGAAGGAGAGAGGAAGAAGAAGTGGACTGTGGGGTCCCTGGTGCTCTCTGAGCTTGGTTGCTTTCTTGCAGACGTTTCATGACCCAACTAGGGAACATCATCAGTGCCGTGTCTGGTAAACCAACTTCTTCACGGAAACCCTTGGTGGTTCCTGGCACATCAGGGCTGTGAAGTTTGCATGTTGGCTTGGAGATGCATGTTGTCAGGGACATGAGGTTCCTTCCCCGGAGGGGGAAAAACACGATTTCCCCTTCCTTGTGTTGCAGCTCCAGCGAGTAAATCTGGTTACTCCGCTCGCAGATACCTCAGAGGTTCCAGGGGGGGGTGAATCACATCCTGGGGGCCTGGTGCATCACTCAGCTACTTATCCGATGTCACCCTTTCTCAATCTCGGTCCCTTGAAGAGGGGAGGACTTCGACTCCCAGCATTCCCCAACCAGCAGAGTTGTATGGGGAGGACTGTCTGCAATGCAGGATGCAGAGAGGGGATTCCCTGGGGGAGGGGGGGAGGGGGGAGGGGCTGGGCAAAGAGAAGGAGGTGAGAGGTAGGAAGGGCTCCTGGGGAGGGGGGGGGGGGGGGGGGGCTCAGGAATGCCTGGTATGCAACTGTCCCAGGAACGCTGCCTGGGGTGTGTCTAGCCAAATAAATCCAGACTGTTTTTTTTTTGTCTTCCTCCTGGATCACCTGGTGGGGAGGGGCTGCAGGCCCCCTTTGGGCCTTCGTTTCTTTCTTTCTTTCTTTCTTTCTTTCTTTCTTTCTTTCTTTCTTTCTTTCTTTCTTTCTTTCTTTCTCTTTTTTCTTTCCTTCTTCCCTTCTTCCCTATCTTCCTTCCTCCCTTCTTTTTCTCCTTTTCTCTTTCTTTCTTTCTCTCTCCCTCTCTCTCTTTCTCTCTTTTTTCTTCCTTTTTTCTTCCCTTCTTCCCTACCTTCCTTCCTCCCTTCTTTTTCTCCTTTTCTCTTTCTCTCTCCTCTCTTTCTTTCTCTCTCTGTCTTTCTTCCTTTTTTCTTCCCTTCTTTCCTTTTTCCCTTTTTCTCTTTCTCTCTCTCTCTTTCTCTGTCTGTCTCTCTTTTTTCTTCTCTTTCTTTCCTTCTTCCCTATCTTCCTTCTTTTTCTTTTTTTTTCTTTCTCTCTCTCTCCCTCTCTTTCTTTCTCTGTCTCTCTCTTTTTTCTTCCCTTCTTCCCTATCTTCCTTCCTCCCTTTTTCTCCTTTTTCTTTCTTTCTCTCTCCCTCTCTCTTTCTCTTTCTCTCTTTTCTTCCTTTTTTCTTTCCTTCTTCTCTTCTTCCCTATCTTCCTTCCTCCCTTCTTTTTCTCCTTTTTCTTTCTTTTTCTCTCCCTCTCTGTCTCTCTCTCTTTTTTCTTCTTTTTCTTCCTTTCTTCCCTATCTTCCTTCCTCCTTTCTTTTTCTCCTTTTCTTTCTCTCTCTCTCTGTTTCTCTGTCTCTGTCTCTCTTTTCTTCCTTTTTTCTTTCCTTCTTCCTTTCTTCCCTATCTTCCTTCTTCCATTCTTTTTCTCCTTCTCTCTCTCTCTCTCTCTTTTTCCTCTGGTTCTTCACCTGCCACCCCACCCACCCCCAATTCGCACCAACCTCCAAGCTTCCGAGATTAATCCTAGACCCAGTGGAGATTTCCACGGTCGCTCGGGTGACGATGGGGCCCGTCTCCTGGAGACCAAGGCGATAATGTAATCTGATTTTGTCAACGAACTCCCTGGGGGGATTTAGATTAAATTGCAGATGGAAAGTCACCACCGGCCCTTGTTTGTCAAGGGGCAGTGGAGAGAAAAAAACACAAACAGAATACAGAATAGCAGAGTTGGAAGGGGCCTTGGAGGTCTTCTAGTCCAACCCCCTGCTCAGGCAGGAAGCCCTATACCATTTCAGATAAATGGTTGTCCAATCTCTTCTTCAAAACTTCCAATGTTGGAGCATTTACAACTTCTGGTGGCAAGTTGTTCCACTGATTAATTGTTCCATCAGGAAATTTCTCCTTTGTTCTAAATTGCTCCTCTCCTTGATTAGTTTCCATCCGTTGCTTCTTGTCCTGCCTTCAGGTGCTTTGGAGAATAGCTGGACTCCCTCTTCTTTGGGGCAGCCCCTGAGATATTGGAAGACCTCTATCGTGTCCCCCCCAGTCCTTCTCTTCGTTAGAGTAGACATAGCAGTAGCCCTTAGATGTCTCTACTGCTTCTCAGTGCTTTTCCAGCCCTCTCTAAGCGGATTACAGAGTCAGCCTCTTGCCCCCAACAATCTGGGTCCTCATTTTATCGACCTCGGAAAGCTGAGTCAACCTCGAGTCGTTCAGGATCGAACTGCTGGCAGTGAGATAGTGAGTTAGCCTGCAATGCTGCATTTTAACCACTGTGCCACCACAGCTAGGAAGGAAGGGGAGGGGAGGGGAGGGAGGAAGGAAAAGAGGAAAGAAAGGAGGGGAGGGAAGAGAGGAAGGGAAGAAGGAAAGAAAGGAAAAAGAAGGAAGGAAAGAAAATAGGAAGGAAGAAGGGAGAGAGAAAGAGAATGAAGGAAGGAAGGAAAGAAAGAGAAAGAAATGAAGGAAGGAAGGACAAAGATGGGAGGGTGATATTGATGAGGGAAAGGGAGGGAGGAAGGAGAGAGAGGGGAAAGAGAAAGAAAAGGGAGGGAGAAAGGAAGGACGAAAGGGAGAGAAGGAAGGAAAGAAGGAAGAAAGGAAGGAGGGAAGAGAGGAAAGAAGGGAAGGAAGGAAAAGGGAGAAAGAAAATAGAAAGGAAGGAAGGGGAAACAGAAGGAAGGAAGGAAGGAAAGAAAAAGAAAGAAAGAAAGAAAGAAAGAAAGAAAGAAAGAAAGAAAGAAAGAAAGAAAGAAAGCCAGGGAATCCTGGGAGTTGAAGTGCGCCCCTCTTCATCCTGAGGTTGAGAAGACTGACTTGGGGGGAGTGGGGGGGCTGCTTCCTGCAAGCTTCCCATCTTGGAAATGTTGCTCATTATTCTGTATCTCCAAAGTCTGGAGTTGGAGAAGGAAAACAGGGCAGCTGCCTTTGCTGAGGAATTGCACAGCCCGACGATACCCAAAGCCTGACGTCAGGAAACGTGGCTTCATTTCACAACTCCCTGTGCAATTTTAGTTTTCTTTCTTTTTTTTTATCAAATCCTCTTTTAAAAAAAAAAAATAATAATAACAACACTTAACAAGTAAACACTGAACTTGGAAAGAACGTGAGGATTAAGAAGCCCTCGAAAAACAGGAGGGGTCTCCCACCCCAACAGAGATACAGGGACTACACAAGCCACACACCTCCCTAATAGGCCTCCCTTATTTTATTTATTTTTTTCTTTCTGAAAAAGAGAAAAGGTGGTTCTTGCCCGTGTTGTTGAACGCGTAGGGAACGGTTGAGAAGAAAATGTTCAAACGTTGAACG